AAAATGTACAATCTGGATACAAAAGCAACTTAAATGTCAATTTACATTTGTATTGTTTCATTTTGTAGGCCTTTAAGAGGGAATTAAAAACAAAAGAGCCTGTTATCTTGAATGCACTTGAAACAGCCCGAATGTTCGTATCCGAACAGCCTCTGGAAGGACTGGAGAAGTTTTACCAGGAGCCTAGAGGTAATCACTAGAGTGCAGTAATGACATTCCAGAAGCAGTAGCAACGACTAAAATCCATGCATTCTTATTGGATCTCTGTACATATTTGCAAGTTTAATATGATACAGTAAGAATCAGGAGAATACACAGAATATAAACAGTCAGTTATCAGTTTGCAGATTTCTGAGCGTGGCAATGTTGGGCATAATTATTATGTTTAATTTATTGATCACTATTCTAATTCCTTGGGATATAGAATGTTCTAGAATGGTAAAGAATAAAACACCAATATTTAAATTTAAAGCAAGTTTATAATTTATATTTCCAGCCCCAGTACTGTTTTTGCATATTCTAACCCAATGTTGTTTCAACAGCCTATGGAAATGGGTGCTTGAAAAGTGACAGTGATATAACTCAAGTTGAATCAATGCCAGGGATCCAAGCCAGCGATACCACCCAATCTAAGCCGGTGCCGTGGATAGAGCATTTGAATATTTTTATCTATTAACAGTAAAGGAATGTTGAGATTTTGTTTTTAAACTTTATTTATGTTGTCTATGTGTTTCACTTTTAGAGTTGTCTCCAGGTGAAAGAGCCCAGAATGTAACTCAGCTCCTAAAAAGGCAGACGGGTGAGGTTAAAACAGAATGGGATAAACTGAATCTACAATCTGCCGACTGGCAAAAAAAAATCGATGAAGCCCTTGAAAGACTACAAGAGCTTCACGAGGCAATGGATGATTTGGATCTAAAACTGCATCAGGCAGAAACTGTCCACAGGTCTTGGCAGCCAGTTGGGGATTTGCTCATTGACACGCTGCAGGATCACCTTGAAAAGCTCAAGGTAAAACTGTATATTCTGTATTTCAGCATTGATTGTGTTTAGATATGCATAGCATTCTGCTGCTATAGCTCCCCCTTCGCTCAAAGAGAGTATTCGTAGTGATTTTAATTAATCACAAAAAATATGAAGATAAACTATAATAAAAGTATATTACTGCTTTCTTTAACAGTAGATGTGCCTTAAAATTTAGGGTATTGACAAATTCAAGAGACATTCAGTTTTATATGTCAAATTATTTTAGAGGTGCATTTTTAGAAGACTTCATTTGTCTATTTATTGTTAA